GGAGCTAGGTGGGGTTCATGGGTTCGGACGAATCCATTAGCTTTTTCGTAGACTCTATATTTGTATTAGAAAAATTAAATAAATATATGTATATTAACATGTGAACCCTCAAACAAAATTAATTTAGAACCCCCAAACTTCCAACCTTGGCTCCGCCTTTGACGTAGGATGTCTTAGGGTTTTAGTGAAAATGCATAGGATGTATATTTAATGTAAACTAAATATAATATATATTTATTGGTTTGGTTATTATTATTTTCGTTTCGGTTATTAAGTATACACAAATATTTTTTAAAAAATCATTCAAAAGATGAAAAAAAGACAACAATTCATTCAAAACGGCTAACATTACAAAACTTTCGTTATTATTATTATTTAGCATCTACTATAGATGAATGCGATGTAACATTACAACTTGCCACGTCTATCTAAAATATATTTGACCTGGACTATAAATTTGCCTCTATTATTGTTAAATAATTCTTACATAACACAGATAGTAATGATCGATATTTAATTTGGTTCAATTTTTTATTAAAAGAAAATTAAATTAATTAAGTCTATTTATTTTTTGTTTAATTAGAAAACAAATTTTATTTATATAGTTGATTGAACATATCAAAACCCATCGAACTGATAAAATTTAAATATTAAATTCGTCTCGATCTTTAGCTGACGGCTAAACATATCAGCAATCACTTTCATGCATTAAATTTTGTAATGTTTCAGAAATACTTAATTATTAGTATAAGTTTCTAGTTGTATAATAATAAGTCTATGGTTGTATGACTTCTAAATTATGAACATATATTATAATTATATATTGCCAATGGGACAAAGTCTAAAAATATTCAAACTTGATTTTAGCTATTCAAACAAATTAAAGAACAATATCAATGACTTAGGTAAGCTTGAAATCCTCATATCCTTTCAAGATCTGGTTAAATATTATTTTATGTTAATTATGATACTGACGTCCATTAAAATTTTGTTGCTAATTCAATTTAGTAATGAAGTAACGATAAATTATCGAAATGTTATCTTAGCAAGAGCGTATTTAATACTTCTCATTTGTCCACTTTTAATTGTCATGTTGCGCTTTTCGAAAGTCAATTTGACTAATATTCAAAGTTAAATTAGATTACATTAATTTGATATTTTAAACAAAAAAATATATATATATTCAAAAACTATACGAAAAGTACTATAAATTTCAATTTTTTGCATATCAATATGATGAAAAAATACGTCGTAAAATGTTAGTCAAAGTTCTTATTGTTTGACTCTAAAAAAGGAAACTATGACAATTAAAGTGGACAGAGGCAGTAACAAATTAGCGACATATGTATAATTATATTTTTTAGTAGGATATTACTTGAAAAGTAAAGAATAATTTTCTATAAACATATAAAACAAATAAATAAAAAATAAATTTATTATGTTAAATGAGTGATAGTAAATCTAGTCAAATATATAGGTAGACATTAATATAAACAGTGATGAGCTGGTTGATTATTTTTTTAAAATTTTAATCAGAAAATTTTAATTTGAGTTTTTGAAAATAGAAAAAATTAATTAGAAGTGCCGCTCCTAAAAAAGTCTTCTAATGTACTTAATAAGTTTATTTGAACACTAATGTAAATATCTAACGCTGAACGAAAAAATATAACCAACTAGGCGGCCAGTTTTGTCGGTTTATCACGTAATTAAATTTGTTTTCAAGCTAAACTTGAATTTATTGTACAAAATAAATCGTGGGGCACACGTGAACTGATGTTCACAATTTCTTTTAGCTCATATATACATATTTTTATGACCAATATATACTAAACTTAAATTTATCCCGGTTCAATATTTATAATATACGATTGGGGAAAAGGACAAATACATCTTCGAATTATTGTAAATGGTATGCAGATACCATTTGTTATACTTTTGGGACGTTGGTGTCCCTGCCGTCTATAAACTAGAGCATATATACCCTTTATACTAACGGACATACACACGTCATGATCTTATCCATCGACCAAACA